TGAAGACTTCAACATCTGGAGGGAAGCACGGTATCAACTGGACAGTTAGGACGCAGCTGGACGATCTGGACTTCGCAGATGACTTGGCTCTTCTATCGCACACTCAACAACAAATGCAAGAGAAGACGACCAGTGTAGCAGCAGCCTCTGCAGCAGTAGGTCTCAACATACATAAAGGAAAGAGCAAAATTCTCCGATGCAACACAACATGCACCAATCAAATCACGCTTGATGGAGATGCTTTCGAGGACGTTAACAACTTTACATATCTTGGCAGCATCATCGACGAGAAAGGTGGATCGGATGCAGATGTGAGGGCGCGGATTGGCAAAGCGAGGGTTGCATTTCTACAGTTGAAAGCTATCTGGAACTCCAAACAACTTTCAAACAAAACCAAAATCAGCATTTTCAATACAAACGTCAAGACAGTTCTACTGTATGGAGCGGAAACATGGAGAACTACCAAAGCCATCATCCAGAAGATACAAGTGTTTATTAACAGCTGTCTACGCAAAATACTTCGTATTCGTTGGCCAGACACCATCAGCAACAACGAACTGTGGGAGAGAACAAGTCAGATTCCAGTGGAGGAGGAAATCAGGAAGAAGCGGTGGAAGTGGATAGGACACACACTACGAAAAGCACCTAACTGCGTCACGAGACAAGCCCTCACATGGAACCCTCAAGGCAAAAGGAAAAGAGGAAGGCCAAGGAACACACTACGCCGAGAAATAGAGAAATATATGAGAGGAATGAACAAACATTGGACAGAATTGGAGAGGGAAGCCGAGGACAGAGTTGGTTGGAGAAAACTGGTGAGCGGCCTATGCTCCATTGGGGGTAACAGGCTTAAGTAAGTAAGTAAGTAATATTTGTTTATGTAATGACGCATATTTATATTTATGATGAATATTAGAACCATAATTTACCCAATCACTTGTTTCGGTTTCAACTGGGCAATGCAGATATCTAAACTATCTAGACAGTGATTCCTTAGTCCAAACCTCAGTTTGAATCCTACATTGGCTGTGTGCACCATTACATTAGAGTTGATGTACTCCCAAGAAACCGAATCGGGTACTTTTCACTTCAAATACCAACTGATTATCCACTTAACCTCTGAGTTCGAATTACTCTTGGCTTATGAAATCATAAACTGATTATAATATTCTCCTTAACAATTATAAAATATTAGTGATATTTATGAAAACATTAAGTTACAATGGCTTATTTCGTTCTAAAGTTTGCCATAAATCTGTCAACTTTGAAAATACCACTTATGAGATTGAATGTGTTCCTTTTAAATTGATGTTAAATTTTGAATAACCGAAAAATATTTAGAAAAAACCTATGTGATATATTCACCGAATTGCCCATTGGATTACTTAATCAATTCACTGACTTTCCCATACTAAAAACAAATAACAGTGAAGCGAACAAATCTTTCCAGTCTCTTCATCATTAGGCCCTTACAAAATTAGTGTTATTTTACAAAGGCCAAAGCAAGGCAAACATTCATGAGCCAGACAATGTAGTATTGTGGTGTGTCGACTAAAAGGTAATTATGATTGAGAAATTTTAAAAAAAGTTCATATGAATCGGGAAAGACGAATGTGTAGATTAAGAAGGATATCAACACAAAAGGAAACGGGTGGAACAGTAAGAAGCTTATAATATCCAGTTTAGGTTACTGGTGGTCTTGTTGTGGACCAACGTAGACACTGAATTTATCTCTTTTGGATATATTGGTTAGGTTTTATGAAACTGATTTAAATAGCCTCAGATATGTCAGAGTGTCAGTCCAACTTCTTTAGACGAATTGTTTGGAACTTCATGTAAAACAGAAAAACTTCATTTATTTTATATACTGTTCACTAAGTGAGAGAATATAGCACTGTTAATCGATTTCGTAACCTTCTTTCTCAACCATACTGGTAAATGTCTACAAGCACGCAAGCATGGATCCTTCTGAGGCCGGCCTATATAACTAGTTCCAGCTGGGTCCGCACTCACACATGGAGAGCCCATCATCGGTTATATTCTTGATTCGTTGTATGCGTAAAGTTTTAGTTTACAATAATACATGTACCTTGACCACATGAAACATCCTTTCAACATATCTTTTGAGTCAACTTGTTAAAATGTCACCCTCTATGCTACCCTTAGAATCGAGTTATAGGTTTAAGAATATCTTGCTAACCGTGTCAGAATTTATTCTATTTTTCCATCCTGATAGACATTTCCTGACAAAATTATCTGAGAAGCTATTGCTTCTTAATAATTTCTATGGTTTACCTATTTCTCTCTCTACTTAATCTTCAGAACATAATTGTTTGATTCTATGGCTGAGACATTTAATTAAATTTATTTCGTAAAACTATTGAAATGAATATTACTAACCTATCGTTTAATTATTTCTAAATATGTTTTTATCAGCATGCAACCGTCTAACCTTCTAGAAACCTAGACATCAAGGAAAGCTATACTATTAGTGTATCATCTTTTTATCGACAATAATAATCTAGCTTATTTAATATCTCCTTCACTGGTTCATTTTCCAATTTAGCTGTGGAAATATCAGTAAGGATCAGGCCTAAAGGAGATTCAATCGCTACTCCTTCTATTTGTCTATATAATTTTTCATGCAATACAACAAAGGCTCTTTCATTTTTTCTTATTAGGATCGATATCTCTACTTCTTTCTTTTCTAATATTTGTTCACATAAATAGTTGATGATATTTGTCAGTGGAGTATTTGTGAATAAAGATTTTATGACTAGTGATAATATGGTTTTATCTTTTATATTCATATTAAATTGAAATATTTCTTCAACTCTGTATTGAACTAAGTCTTGATATAATTTCTCTTCTATAGTACGTTTACTCACCATTTTACTGATAGACAGTATAATGAGTTCTGTATGTGTAGAATCAGATATACAGTAAGCCATACGCTCCATAAAGCTTAAGCCCATTGTAAGTATCATCATAACAGTGTACCCAATATTAGTCGAAATATAGACATAAAAATGCTGATTTTCATTTTTCTAACATTAACACTGTTAGCTACCGGCTTAGTGGTCCAGATGTCAAGACTTTGCGCGCAAGACCGAAGGTCCCGGGTTCGAATCCTGTGAGGTGCGGCAGTCAAGGATGCACAATGCTTATAAGTCCCATACCAGGAAGAAACGACCGTCTTTCAGTGCTTCCAGGTTTCTAATGGTGGTCTAACATTAATCGATACATGATTTCAAATGTGTAACTTAAAAATCTTCACAACTCCAGAATGCAATAAAATAAAAAAATTTCTAAAATTATTGAAAAGATTTTTTGTAAAAAAAAGAATTGGTTGAATCGAATTTAATTGTTTTTCCTTTTTTCGATTCAAAGTTTTTATGAATTCCTAAGAAAATTCAATTTAAAAATTGTTTATCTCTTCATGTAGGCATTAAAACACACACACACGGAGAAAAAATGATGTATTTTGTGAGAGAATGTTCACTATCTAAGAACGACAGAAATAGAAAATTTAAAAGGAAGCAAAAACTAATGTTGAAATAATACAAGGTTAAACCACCGAGGCTTATTTTTATTCTAGATAAGAATTAATACAGCAAATTCTTATCCCAGTTTAGAAATCACTTTGATGTTTGAAATTGTCAAGTTTCCGCTGGTTTGAATTTCGCTAATTCAAATGACTGTACAGTGTAATATGTCGATAATTATAACTCTTGAGATGGTAGAGAAAACTTGTAGCTCAGGTGGATGATTGTGGTGGTTTTTCGTTCTCTAAGCTGGTTGTTTTGGTTGTGGAGCTTTCATTGTTCTTCTACTGAACAACATCATCAGCACAAACTTCAGATGGCAGAAATGAAGTATTCGAATTTCTCCATGTTTGACCTGTAGCTTGTTCTGCTAACCTCGATCTTGATCGATTGTTGTTAACCTTAAACTTGTCGTTTTATGCACCTTTGTTTTGATTGTATGAAAAATCAAAGGTGACATAGGATCAAGAAACAGATCAAAAGAGGGATAAAATCAAAACAAAGGTGAAAACAACGACAGGTTTAAGGTCAACAACAACCAATCAAGATCGAGGTTAGCAGAACAAGCTACAGGTCAAACATGGAGAAATTTGAATGCTATTGACTTCTATCTGAAGTTTGTGCTGCTGATGATGTTGTTCAGTAAAAGAACAATGAAAGCTCCACAACCAAATTAACCATCTCAAAGAACGAAACACCACCACAATTATAATTCTACTTAAAATTAATTAGAGTATTAGTTCAGTTTTAATTAAATTCATTTCAATATGTTCAGTGGTTTAGCAATAATTGAAAAATAAACCGCTGAATTTAAATTTCCTGCTAGCTGGTATTCGTCAATAAAACCTTTATACAGCATTAAAGATTGGGATTGGAAATTGCAGTATATGGCTTCACAGTTTGAGACGTTACCTCTGAGCTATCTCAAGCGATTGCAGGCACGCTTTACTGCGAATTGGCAAATAGCATAAATTTTTAGGTACAAACTTTTCTCACCGACTACATCTAACAACCTATTATCTCAGCATATAGTATACACCATATTAAGTCACCTGAATTAATTATCACATTGTAACCTAATCAATAGAATTCAATTAACAGAACTTAAAGGACCATATACACATATAACACTGATCAATGATCACTGTGATAAAATACCATTTATATTTCTCATATATTTATTCTTATTTTGGGAAGTGATAACAATTAATCTTTCCTCCAATATTTTGAAAAAACATAACTACGTTCATTATTATTAATTAATATGATTAGTTAGACAATGATTAAGCAAAATGAGATGGAAAAAGTGCGGCTGAACAAAACAATCTAACTGAATCAATAATTACTTTATATTCATTAAGTTTCTCTTTTTATTTTTTTTTATTAAAAATTTCTTATTTTGTTACACAAATTGTTTTCTTAATAATTCATAGTTGAAATAAATCAATGTAATGTTTAATTCATATAAGGATAGGCAGATTTTCTGGCTAAACGTTTACCGAGACGTAGAAATTGAACACGTTTTTGAATGTCACTGGGTTCTTCCTCATAGAACCCACGATATCGATAAGGTTCTTCACGAAGATAGTCTGACTCTCTGTGGTATTGACTATTCACCATTTGACACAAAATCAGACCACAACAGAATATGGTCAATAAGAATCGTAGAAACCTATTGCAATAGGGAAAAAATAGTGGGAATGAATATATAAATTAAAAATTCTTGTATGAAGGAAATTATGTATTGACAGTGGACAGTGTATACATTTTGCGTGGTTGTTAATTTTCCAACTTCGAAAAAGAACAATGACGAAACGCTTGAGTTTCTAGGGAAAGAAAGCGAATTCGATAGACTGATAAATCAACTAGTCAACATATTCTCGTACGTATAAATAACTAGAACAGTTAAGAACCACTTATGTTGATTGAAACATATCACTAAACTAGGCATTCATTCTACTCAGCATAGCCTTACCTAACTGATTCTTGGGTAGCTCAGATAAATTTAGCTTATAGAGGTGATTATTACGAATAATTCCAGTTAAGTTAAAGAAACTCAGTATTTTAGTGACAATAAAATTCCAAACAGTTACTGATGACGAATTCACCAGGTGAAACACAATAATAAGACATTGAAATAAAACAGTAATTAACTAAGAATATATTTTCAACAAAGGAGAATAACCATTTGAAGTCTTTGATATCAACAACGAGATTATTTATACATCATAGACCTTATAAAATCAGAACTTATCATTTTTGTTCTCAATATACTAACTACTCTCTGTCAATTTGTCTCATATTTAAATGTGACATAGTTGTTTCAGTTCGGCGATCATCTGTGTTACTTTTTGACTAATTTCAAATGAAGTTATTTGAAATGATTTAATTTTTGTCAGTTAGGCGGATAAAGTGATAAGGTGAGTTTTTTTTAACAAAAAACTAGATTTCATACTTTATTATGAATTAAAAGCCTCGTTCCATTGACATGCGCAAAAATAAACTTTAATAGATTTCAATTTAAACTAAACTGAATAATTTTTTTTCCAAGTGCTAAAAGGTTTTACAAGCAAGTTTATTAATAAGAAGTAATTTTTGAAATCATCGTAATTTTAAACAGTGGAAAGAAGAATATTTGGAGAACATCAGTGATAAAAAACAGAAATAACTAGAAGATATGACATGCGACTTTTTAAGCTGTACTAATTTATCGTTTGTCTCAATCACATGAAATCTTTGTTAAACTACACCGCCTAATATGTTATGAGATCAATGTTTGGCGATATCATTTTCTTGTAGTTATTTGAATAAAACTTTTCTGTTAGATGTTTGAAGAATAATTTTCAGTACTGATAATATTTCTCTATTGGAAAGTCTTGACTTGTTGCTTAGTAGATGTTATGTTTGTCACTAGGTACGCTTGAAGCTATTACGAGTTAACCTTAGTCGATAAACACGAACGAGACAATGAACCAGCGTCCATGTAGGCTACCTTGAATCCCAAGCTATAAACAGAAGGCTTGGTAAGAGTAGAAAGTATATTCTACAAACACCCAGCAATCACAATACAATCAAGCACACAACTCTCGTTTATTTATACATCACAGAAACGTCCTTGGGACAGTCACAAAAATGGAGCACTAAAATGCACAGCAGCCAATCACAGCCATGGATTTTCCTGGTGTGAAATGAAATCTCAAGGTCAACTGATCATCCCATGCTGGCAAACGTGAAATCCGAAATAAGACATTGATCAAGCTAGTTTTGGGGATCTAACATTCCCAAAAGTAGAGTTCTAGAATTAGCCAAATACTTAAGAATCACATTAGATATCTATCATTAAATTATTACGTTAGGTAAATGATGACTGTTAAATTTCCAGTGTCAAATTGTATTTTATGCATAATCAGACGTAAAAGTTTTGAATTTGATCTTATCTGGTAATTGTGAATCGATATTAAGTAAAGACAGAGAGAGAGAGAGAGAGAGAGAGAGTAATGTTTAGCGGCTCAGTAGTGGCTTCTATACTTACACGTTAATTTTTTACTTCTAGACAAAATGAACAATCTAGATAGTATGTAACTTATGTGTCATTTTCGTTTGTATCCTCTTTAATTCTATACTTGTACATTTTGTCTGTGCGCTTTATTCCTCAGCTTATCTGTTTGTCACTTATCCCACTTGTTTCATATCGATTGGCTTACCTTTTACTATCTATATATTAACTATATAAGCTCAGACGCAAATTAGTTGAGATGGCTATATCTATTTCTTTTGCATGTTCATGTCATCGATGACTAAGCTGCTGAAACCAATTCCTGATATCATCATACCTTACGCAGATTTTGACTCGATAGTGTAAACTTACTATTTTATAGAATATGTGCAAAATTCATCAGAGGTATCTGTACTAGGAATCGAATGAATTATGAAGTCATCGAAAGGTTATAGCTTTAAAACTGATATTAATTTCATTGAAATCATCAACGGATCAGTGTTAGACAACCATTAGAAAGACACATGGAGGTGATGTAACTAACGAAAATCGATTTATGATTTCAATAAACTTCAACAATCTCCACAATCATAGAATGATGTTCTTTTTTGTGAAGAAAATTAGGTTTTTAAAAAAGTAAACCAATGCAGCTCAGATAATCAGATACTTTCGAAAATATAATTTAAAGGATGCTAAGGTTTTATGTACACTGAGTGGACACAAAAAGCAAAAAAAATATTTCGTAATTTTTTATTCAGCTAATTTTTAAGTAAATTTTCTTTTGATGCGATTTTTAACTAACAGTAAACATATGATGTTTTAAAAATGTGCTAATCATATTGAAATGGTATGAGTTATCCTAGTGTTGATATTTTTTGACTGGAATTTGATCAGTCTCGGTTAGTTTGAGCTCTGGAGTGAGTGTCAACTCTGCAATCAGGTACGTCCAGCTGAAGAGTTCCAAATACGATGAAATGTGTGTTCTAAAATCTCATTGTTAGCCATAGTCTGTCTATTCTATACAAATAATTAACTATAAAAAACATATTTCGAAGCTTTATTGAAGACATTGGTTCATCTATTTTAAAATCTATCCAAATAGCGAATTTTTTCCATATTGCCCTGACTATTATCATTTAATTTCGTTAATCTTCAATCGGTTACTGTTAGGTTCGTCACTAAGTACGCTTGAAGCTATTACGAGTTCACCTTAGTCGATTAACGCGAACTAGACAATGAACCAGTGTCCAGGTAGGCTACCTTGATCTGAAAATAGCAAAAGCGAAGTCTTGATAAGAGTAGAAAGTACATTCTACAGACACACAGCAAGCACAGTACAATCAAGCACACAAATCTCTTTTATTCATAGAAACGTCCTTGGGACAATCACAAAATTAGCACACTAAAATATACAGCAGCCAATCACAGCCATGGATTTTCCTGGTGTGAAATGCAATCTGAAGGTCAACTGATCAGCTCATGCTGGCAAAAGTGAAATCCAAAATAAGACATTTGTCAAGCGAGTTGTGGGGATCTAACGTCCCTAACAGTTACAAAATTTATCTTATGTATATAGGTAGGATTGTGTTCACAAATGATAAAAACAGTTCTCTGTATTTTTCATTAAATTTCCATTCTAACAAATTTAATTAAACTCGATAGACTCGTGGCTTTATAGTACTTGTGAATAAAAAGTACTTTCAACACTATGAATGTATTCTTAACTAAGGATTTAAGAATATACAGCAAAATAGATTAAGTAGTGGTTATTAGATGATTAGTTTGTTTTATATGAAAGGGTGTTAGAAATATTGAATTTTTCTTAGTAAACAACAACAAAGCATTAGTTACTTATTCAGTTGTAAACTATGATGAACCTGGTATACATGTACGTTAGTTCTAGTTGCTACAACACTAATGAGACCACAATAGTGAGCTTATTAGTAGTATTAGTGATAGAAGAAAACATTGGGTTGAGACATTATTTTTTTTGGAAAGAATGAACGAATACATGGGATAAAAAGGTATGAGATAACTTTCAAACTCAAAATTAAAGGTAAAACTAAGAGTGAATGTATTTGCCATATTCCCACTGATTCGGAGCCAAAGCATACAACATCTACAACTTCCGATTACGATACTTGTCCAAACTCAAGCTATTTAGCCTAGACTTATTGTAATGAACGACGACGTTAAGACCAGATGAAAAAAGCCATTTCTTTGACGAAGACAGTTTACTAGCCAAAATGAGAACACATTATCCTCCAACGTTCTCTTGAAAAACATATGCGTTATCGGCTCTCTTGCCCCACATGTCTTCTAGTCTTTAAAACAGTCTATCCGCATCATACATTTGGATCAGATATTCTTTGTTTCGGCAGTAACTTCAGGATGACACTTCGCTACCTATTAGTCACATTGTAAATCGTACACACCACAATAACACCATAGGTCCAATCTATAAGTAAGTGGATTCATGATGGATTATCATTTATTTGTTTGTCTAGATTAAACTTCTACCTAATCTACTCTTATACTAGCTTATATCTGGCATTAAGATAGGTGGTCATTAAGCATACGTAATACATGTTCCGACCACCTAACAATCTTATCGACCGGATTGCCATCTCATTTTTATTGTTCTAAGTCTAACCTCAGAATTGCTCACCCACTGATTTCAGCACGACCAATCAACGTTTTGAAGGTGTCCATGATCAAATACTCGTAATTCAAAGTTAACAATTATTTTCAAAGCGTATTTTACATAGCATTAGTTAATTTATAAATTACTCTACCAAAGTATACTTTCCAGTCAAACATTTTATTCAGTTGTTCACTTATATTCAATGTAAACAAACTTTCACCTTCAGTATTTATATCAACTCTGATTAAAAGCTAAAATTTTTTTTCTAACTAGTTTATTTCTTATCTAGTTACTTTTTGTTTTGTCAGATTGCACATTGTGATGATGATGATGATGAGGAAAATATTGATTTTCGTAATTTATTTAATGAAACCAATTCTAAATAAAATAATCTATCAGTATTTTTTGTTGTTGACAGATATGTTTTGTTTTATTGCTTTTCTCTGATTACATTCAAACCTATATACTTATGTGGATATACATCAGGTGATTAGAGTGTTCTTTATTTTATAGAATCATGAATCATTCTAAA